CACGATCCGCAGTGTTTAGCACGTGCGCGTATCCGGGTGCGATTCCAAGGAACTGCGCAGCATTTTGCTGCTGAGTCTTGGAGACATAAGCACAACGGTCCTTTCCGTAGAACACCCGCTTTGGTGCTTGCCATTGCTGCTCCTGGGGGAGCTGGGTGACAGCCTTCATAGCATTACTGATCGACAGGAAATGGACGAATCCAATCGCCTTCTCCTTGACAATTTTGACAGTATCAATGGGCCCAAATTTGCCCAGATCCTCCCGTAAATCATCCTCGGATGTTTCCTCGGGCAAATTTCCAAGATAGACGTTACGCGACGCGCCCGACTGTTGAACAGCCAGGGCGACTGAGGTGGGGACCTGTGAAGGCTTACCCCAGCCAACCTTGATATCATTTCCCTTGATAGCCAACTTCTTCAAGATGGCATCTGAATGGAAATGAGTGGCAGAACTGCTATCCAAAAAGGAGATGAAGGCGCAGTTCTTATCGGGGAGCAGGCGCACCGACTCAATTTGACCGCTACGCACGTGGTTTAAAATCTCCTCGGCAGATGTTTCAGCCGGGATGTTTCCAAGGTACACGGTGCGACTAGTCCCGGACAGCATGCCCGGGGCCACGGAAGCCTGGGGGCTTCCCAGAGCCGCATTGCCCATACCTCCAAGACCATTGATCGGCGATTGAGGGCCCATCATTTGGGAGCCCATGTCAGGTGACATCATTCCATACAAACCGTGGTTCTGCATTCCTTGCGTTGGGCTGTGCATATGGTTCTGGTTGTTTTGATTGTGTCCATTGCCATTGGCTTGTGAGAAACCAAAATTGGCAAATTGAGGCGAAGCAAAAGCCGAGGGAGTTCCTGGTTGGAAAGGACTGCCTACTAGCAGCTGCGAGGGGAGAAGGGGGGTATAGTTCATATCGAAGCCGGAAGCCATATCGGAGTGTTGGCCGGCGGCAGTATTTATAGCGGGGATATTGGCGCGACGAGAGTTCCGGTCCGAGAATCCTTGGATAGGGTTGGGGTGGTTATTGTTGTAAGCTCCGTGGGAAAAGCCAGTGTCACCGTTCAACGCGTATTTAGACCCGTGGATTAGACGCGAATTATTCGGGATGTTTGATACATCCGAGGCTTGCATGGCGAGAAAGATCCAAAACTTGTCCTTAAGACAAGAACCTAGCCTTAGTCGGGGATGAGATGCCCTGACTACCAGACTGAGAGGCTCTGGGGGGGGAAAGAAAGGGAAAAAAAAAAGGAGGATTATCAGATCACCATTCAGGAGATGTCTCCACAGCCAAGATCACAGGGAAAAATAGGGAGGGATTCGGGTGGAGAAGAATCCCAAAAAAAAAAAGACGAAGCTCAAATGGAGACGTGTCTGAATTGAGGTTCAAAAGTCAATTGGAATGTTTCATTGTCAATGAATTTGGGGAATGGGGAGAACAAACCCGTGCTTTTGGTCTCTTTTAGAGAATGCCACTTATATATATGTCACAATACCCATGCAGAACAAAGTATCAAGCTTCCTGAGAGAAAGAGAAGGAAAGATTCAAAAGTCAAAGACTACAAACAATTAGCTCAAAGAGGTTAGGGAAATCCAAAGGAAAAAAAAGACCTGAAGAAAAAAAAAAAAAAAGGGGGTAAGACTGGGGAGATGGGGAAGAGTTTACAGTTGACAGGCTTGGACTAGTTTTTTTTTATTTTAAGAAAAATAGAAAATAATCCTTAAAAGCGATAGAACGAAGAAACAGAAACAACAAAGGGTTAAAAAAGAGCGTGGAGAAAAGGAATGAAAAGGCAAGGAAGTGAATCCAGGTAAGGTATGGAGAGGGAAGAAAACATTAAAAGGGGGAGAGTGGGTTAAGGGGCCGGACTAACTCTCTATATTGATTTTATAGGAAGTTATATGCAGATTTTCATTGGATTATACATTGAATATTGAAATCTAGAATATATAGGATATATAGGAGATATAGAATATAAAATAAAGAATGAACAAATATAAAATAACATTGATTTTCCCCAAACTTCGAGTTCCCGTGGCTCCTGCAGAACTGGATCAGGACCTAATCTCCCCCTGACAGGTTCATGGGGTTATTATAAACTGGAGTACGGAGTACGGAGTAGTACCTACAGGACATCTTTTAAATACCCTTCTTTTAATCTCCGCCTCTCCGGGAGTCTGGGTCCCGTGACCTTTATATATCTATCCAAGACTGTATCCCGAACATGTCTACATCATTATATCATTACGGAAGTACTACGGAGTAGATGGGAGAAAGCTATCCAAGTAAGGTTCTGACTCGACTCGTGGATGAATTTAGACTGTTGATATGCTTCGAATGGGTATATCCTTTGATATACTATAAGAACGGATATACTGTATGTTGTGCGTCTTATGGGTGAGCAATATAATGATAAAGATGGATTTAAATCGGATAAGAATCCATGTTTAACATCTAATACTTCGGAATAAATCAGTCAGCCTTGGATCATAAGCCAAAAGAATATACTCCGAAAGATATCCGAGATATACTGCCCGATGCCTCAGGCACCCGTGGGGAATCCCGCATCTATCGGAAATTTACCCCTCTACCTCAATGTGCGATTCCTCCCTTGGACAACTTGCAATTGGGAAGAGATAAGAGTTCCATTCTCTGCGTATCAGGTGAGTCTGTTCTTTGTCACATTCTAATCTGTCCCTGTATCCCTTCAGCCTTATGGTGTATGACTCACAGATTAGACCCTATATTAATTTATTATCTCTCCCACAGAACTCTCCCGCCACAACCCAATTAATTAAAGCCTGGGGCTGCAAGGAATAGATCAAAAGTCATGCCTACCATCTACATCGACGAAGACGTCGGGAGAGACGAGTCCTCCGCCACCGGCACCGAGACTGCCCCCTACAAGACCCTTGTCCACGCCTACGTGGAACACCCCCCTACCACTGAAGGCATTCAGTACCTCACACGCAAGTCCCAGACCGACGCCGCCGGTGAGGATGTTGACCCCGCAGCCAAATTGGAGTGGAAGCCCGCCACCAAGTCGGCAATGAAGAAGGCCAACAACCTCTGGGAGCAGCGCAAGAAGAAGGCCGCCAAGGAACACGAATTGGCCATCCGCGAGAAGGCCGAGGCCGACAAGCGCCAGAAGGTCCTTGAGGACGCCAAGAAGATCGTGATCAAGGAGGACACCTCGCTGCCCAAGCCCGTGCGCGTTCGTCTGGATGTCACCGACCCGGCCATCGTCAAGCTGCGCACCACCGAGTCCGATGAGGCCGGCACCCGAGTGCGCGTTCTGGGCCGAGTTCACCGTGCCCGCGCCCAGAAGGATGTTGTTTTCATCACTCTTACCGACGGCTACGGATACCTGCAGTGTGTCCTGACCGGCGACATGGTCAAGACCTACGACATCATGACCCTCACCCTCGAAACCTCCATGTCCATCCACGGTGAGATGCGCGCCGTGCCCCCCAAGCAGCACGCACCCAACGACCGCGAGCTGCACGCCGACTTCTTCGAGATCATCGGCAAGGCTGCTGGCGACAAGGAGGCTATTACCACGCGTGTGGCGCCGGACGCCGACCCGCAGACTCTCTACGACAACCGCCACTTAGTTCTGCGTGGTGAGACTTCCTCCTCCGTCATGAAGGTTCGCGCCGCTACTCTGCGTGCATTCCGCAAGGCCTTCGAGGAGACCCGCATGCTGGAGGTCACCCCTCCCGCCATGGTGCAGACCCAGGTCGAGGGTGGCAGCACTCTGTTCGGATTCGACTACTACGGCGAGAGCGCCTACCTGACCCAGTCCTCGCAGCTGTACCTTGAGACGTGTCTCCCCTCCCTGGGTGATGTGTACTGTGTGTGCCCATCTTTCCGTGCCGAGAAGTCGTTGACCCGTCGCCACCTGTCGGAGTACACCCACATCGAAGCCGAGTTGGATTTCATCACCTTCACTGATCTGCTCGACCACCTCGAGGATGTGATCTGCCGTGTTATTGACTACACTCTGGCTGAGCCTGAGATTGCCGCATATATCAAGCAGCTCAACCCTGACTTCAAGCCCCCGTCCCGTCCCTTCCGCCGCATGAAGTATGACGATGCTATCCAGTGGCTGATCGAGCACGAAATTCCCAACGAGGAGGGCCAGCCCCACCAGTTCGGTGACGATATTGCCGAGGCTGCTGAGCGTCGCATGACCGATATCATCAACCAGCCCATCTTCCTGACTCACTTCCCCGCCAATATCAAGGCCTTCTACATGAAGAAGGATCCCGAGGACCGCCGTGTCACCGAGAGTGTTGACGTGCTCATGCCCGGTGTTGGCGAGATTGTCGGAGGCTCTATGAGAATGGACAACTGGGATGAGCTGATGGCCGCCTACAAGCACGAGGGCATGGACCCCAAGCCCTACTACTGGTACACTGACCAGCGCAAGTAAGTTTTGATATCTCGCATTTGTTCCTGTTTTCTCTTTTATTCGACCATACTAATTTTTCATCTAATAGGTATGGTACCTCCCCTCACGGTGGCTACGGTCTCGGTCTCGAGCGTTTCTTGGCCTGGCTGTGCGCTCGTTATACCGTCCGTGACTGCTCATTGTACCCCCGGTACACCGGCCGTTGCACTCCTTAGATATGTCGAAAACAAAAAACAAAAAGTATAAGCATTATCATGATAGGTACGGGAATGTAGCATTGGTGCTACAGTGGAAGAATGAAATTTCTTTCAGATCAATTAAAACAAATTATGTTTCTATGTTATGTACCCAGGTACGGAGTACCAATGTATATCGGGCTTTTCTCCTTGAAAACACGGATATCGACCTAGACCTAGCCATACCCTGCAATATTCTTTAAACTGATGCTCACTGGCACAATCCACACACTACAGCCTCCGGACAGCATGTCTTCCACACACATCTCTGTACATATATGCACAGCCCACCCATGAGCAGTGTTCGACCATATAGGATCTCCCTGAATATAGTTTCCAAACCCAATGATGCCCAATCTCAAAATTGTTGCCGCTGCCGTTGAAACCCAGCCCAAGACCCTGGCACCTGGGATTACAAAACCAACCAAAACGGAAGCATGCAGATGCACACAGCCTCAAATCGAGTCCCGTCTGCATAGAGGTTTGGCTATATTCGCAACACAGCTTTTCACGCGCGGTGTCACACGATCTGTCGTGCTTTCTGCGTCGACATCGCCCCCTGACCGGTAAATCGAAGGTGGATTTGATGTTGCTTTTGGCTATTGGCTTTTGGCTTTTGGCGTTGGCGTTGGCGTTGGCTTGGTGCTGGCGTTGATGCTGGTGTTGGTGTTGGCTTTGGCGTTAGCGATAGCTTTTGGTTTGGCCTTCGCTTTGCCGTTGGCATTGGATTCGGCGTTGACGTTGATAAGAGGTTTGGATTTTGCTCTGGCTTCCAGTTACAACAAGCAAGGCCATCGATGGGATCTGGTCGTGACGGTGATGCTGATCTGCTGCGAACCAGGGTTCCGATCAGTGGGGAATGGGGGACGGGTGTTACGGCATGGCTGTGATCGAGGATGGGATATCAGTTTGTCATATGTGTATAGAAAAAGATCGGAATCGAGATCGAGTTGGATGAAATCTGGTCTTGTTCACGGGGGATCGAATCGGTGTGGTGTCGTCCTACTGTAATCGTCTCGGGTCGCGGGAAACCCTGTTCCTAAACAACCTCCTCTCATCATCATCATCCTCATCTCTCGCGGCCGACGATGGAAGATGGGTTAGTACATAATTTTCTTTCAAAAGACAGGGACAGAGAGTCTTGGACTCTTGCCCCTAGGAGATGGAGAGGGAGTGAGAGAGGAAGGGAGTCTTGGTCTCTCTCTATCTACAGAGGCGGACCGTGCAACGATGAGTCTCAAGTCGATAGAACTCTGAGATGGGTTAGTACAGCCTCTTTTCAAAACAGAGCAAAGCCTTGAAGTATCTCTAGCATCGGAGAGAGAAGAGGAGCGTCTCCGTCTACAGGAAAAGAGGCGCGCAGCGCAAGGGTGATCCACTACACCCTGGGCTTCCATTGCTCGAAACCACACGGAGATAGAATCCGTGAGCCCACAGGTCCCATTCCACTCGACCCCTTCGAGAAACGCCCAAGCAGCCCTAGGTCTCTAGCAACAGAGATTCCGTTTCCACTGTTCAAAGGAGTCAGAAGAGAACTGCGTCCGTGTTTTGGACCGGGTACATCGTATAGGCGCGCGTAACATCGACGGCGTACTTGTCCCCCATTTTCACCTTTCTGACGTTCTGACAACCACAATTCGCCCCCATGACAGACAATGCAGCTGAATCTCGGCTCGGTTCACCCACATGTCCCGCGTTGTTTAATCCGTCGATGTTGATGTTCGTATTCTTTTTCCACTCCTTTCTTTGTTTCATTCGTCTCATCGCCGGGATCGCTTTGCCGTGCACCTGCCAATGGGCTTGCATCGGGGTTCCACACACTTTGGGTTAGTGGAATGCTGCTGTCACTAAAAACGTGTTGGCTGTATTTCACTCTTCGTACCGGGGTTTGGTAGGTATTTTCAACTTGACATCCAGGGCGTCCGGGGCATATAGACCTTACCAACGACAAGATCACAACTGCTGGCTGAACACCTCCTGTCATTGCCACTGGGTACAAGTACTTTTCTTTTCCTCTTTCCTGCTCTTTCAGTCGGACACACGTCGTCATTTTCCCTTTTCCTTTTCAACAACCCTATTCATGCATATCCCGGGCAATACTAGGTTGATATGCCATGTGACAACACAACACACCTGATATTCAAATCCCGTTGGGCAAAATGTCCCAGGAAAGAACATGGGTGTGGGCCAAAAAAAAAAAAAAGGAAACGGCGTCATGAGCTATATCGTCTACCACTCGACTTGCAGGATTTAATTTGTCTTATGTCTTTTTAAGACCTAGGCAAAGCAAAAAGGAGGGCACTCTCATGGTTGTTCTCCCAAGAAACATCAACATGCATGAATAGTTCATTATGTCAACAACCACCATTTCAACCTGGAATTCTCTGGGCCACGCCCTGGAAAACAAAGAAAGCAAAGAAACACCGAAAGCTGAAAGCCAACTACAGCACAGGTTGTAATTGCAAGGTTGAAAGCTGAGTTGTGCGACGTTCAGATCTCGTCCTGGACGCGTTGAATGGCGACGTGGATCTCCTCGTTCGACGCCCCGGAGCGAATGAGCGAGATGATCCGAGAGACGGACTCGCTATGAGCGTCACGCACGACGGAGACCAAATCTTCCAGGAACTTCCGGTAGTAGTTCAGGTCGACTTCCTGCTGGCGGATCTCCTGACGGCGCTCAGGTGAGTCGTTGGTGTGTTCGCTGTGGGGAGGTCACGGGGTCTCAGCTTTCGATCATTTAAGTGTTGCCAGAATGGGGTTTGTTTACGGGCAGATGCGTTTGGGAGAGAGAAACAAGTGAGAGAGGGAGGTAACAGCGAATGGAGGAGGTCTGTTGCAATTCGGGCGGAAAAACGACTACTCACCTTGCATTCTCCCTGCCTGACAACTCGGTCTGGCGGCCTCCGCTGCGGTCTCCTGGGCTTCCGTGGCCGTTCGTGGAGTTGGCTGCGGTGCGGTCTGACATCTTGGGTTGAACTGGTTCAAGTATGCTGTCAAGGGTTCCTATGTTGGCAAAGGTTTGCAGATGGTCTTGGCTATCGTGCTCGAAGCTGATCATATGACGGTTCCTGGTATCCTCCTGTGTCTACCTATAAAATATCACAACTTCGTAACGGTTAACAAGCAGACTACTGGCGTTGGGAGAAATCGATAGATTCTAGTGGAACGGGGGCGAAAGGCTCAAGAAGGTGAAGTATGAATATTGACCAGGTATGAGGGGTTGGAGGGGGGGGAAGCGGTCGGCCATACGTGTTTATAGGCAAGTGTCACCCGACTTGAAGGTAGATGGGGCTTATATACATAGAATTCGTAGAAAGGTGGGAAGATGGGACTCGACGAAACTCGAGAGGTCAAAGAGAGAAAGGTGGGACCTTTCAAAAGAAGGTATTTGGGGGGACAAGGCAGGATTGCCCCCAGTCTATTTGGTCCATACAAGGCCAAAAAGACCTGAGGTAAGACATATCAGGCGTGGGATACATCTGAGCTAGAGCTCTCAAGCCTGTGCCTTTGGTTAACACATTCACCAGGTAATTTCAATCGACAAATAAAAACCAATAAAAAAAAAAGAATTGCATTGTAGTTGTTCACGATTCTCGAGACCTCGGAATGGGCCCCGGACAAAACTGCCAGCCAATCGTCGATCGTGTTTTGCTCCACGAACGTTCAAGTATCATATTTGAACCAAAGCCCGTTGGTTCTCATATTATTTTATTTTCCAACCTTTTGGACTTTGAGCTCAGATCCCGGTCTGTGGTTTGCTGGAGAATTGCGAATTTCGGGGCCCTGTAATTCGTTGCATTCGCATCTGTATTCGGATTTGCTGAGGGCTCGGATAGATTCTTGTTTCCAAAGAGGCAAGACCTTCTTTCATGCATCTGTGGCGATTTTGGACCTTCTGCCAGAAGTAGTTTGTTCAAGTCGCGCAGTGGCAATGGTTGCTCAAATAGATCTCGGGAGACAGGAGCAGCCAATTGGGACAGCTAACACTTTATCTGCGGGTAGACTCGAACTAACTCCAAGCAGACTGACCGCAAGTTTAGTAAAGATGGAATTCGACCATCTATGACGGAGATTCATTCCAACACGTGGACCTTTCACTATTCCTCGACGCTGAAGCTGGGAATACTGGTTGTGGAATCTGGAGAAACGTTGTCTTATCCAGTCGCAACCCGAACGGTTTCCTTGGGCACCCCTGGGAATTCGAGTTCCGTTTTCTTTCAACGTGAAGGAAGCAGAATGAAGAGGTGAAGTTCTCTCTGTCTTGTCTGGACAGGATTCAGCTTCCCTCTACGGGTAGAAACTGCGTGCTGACTCGCTCTTTCCGTTTAGGGTCCTTTGTTAGCGCCTTCCGTTTCTCCAACGTCGGGGATTGGATTCAGGATTTCTGTTCCTCTGTCAACAATCGAATCCTCCATACACACTGTATACATCGCTGTATACTCGACCGCGCCCATAAAGTTGAGCACGGTTGGCTCTTCTCGACATTGCATGATCTCGAAGATTTCGTTCTCGGTATCACGACCTCCGAAGTTCGAAACATGAGCACTACGCCTTGAATGTCTTCTGGGACCGTCTATGCCTCGGTCGCTGACAGCCCAAAAACAAAACAAGGGTTATAATAACCAGGCTCTGGTTATGGGGGCCATGGGCGCGGCTGGATGGGAGGGGCGGTTGACCAACACTCCATGATATTACTCAGTGCGGCAGTGTCTGGGAATTGGACCGAATACCACAATTCAAGGAAATGACACGGAACCACCATTTGATGTTGAGTCTGGCGTTGGTTTGTCCGTGACAGACCACCCAACCCAATTCCTGGCTTGATCGCCTCTGATGCTTCTGTGGGAGTGCGTTATGGCATCTGTCCTTTATACCGATACTTTTCCGTTGTTGAGTATACGGAAAAGCTCATTATTGCCGCAGTATACCGTGTCTCGAGTCCGATGGACACCTCGGCTGTTACCATCGTCGCCTCCGTCGTCACATCTGGGGTGTTTGTGGGGAATTTCCAGGGCTTGTGGGCTTGATGGAGGTGTTTCTTGGAACGGTAACGGAGACAGGAATGGGAGTGGGAACGAAAGTAAGTGAGCGGTCGTACAGTACCGGCCGTGGGCGTCGTCACGAAACTATTCTTTGTGGACGTCGTGGTGGGTCATCTTTGTGTATCAGTTATGCAGTATATGTGGTTCCGTGGCTGTTCAGGTCAAGGGGAATGATGTCTGTTAATCTTGCAATAGATGGGAAAGTCCGTGTCTGAAGACCGTCTTCGGGTCGGATGTCAACTTGGGTGGAGAGTCTCATCACAGAGTACAAAACACCGTGATCATCTGAGCCAAACGCGATAAGGGGAGCATGGATCGGTGATTTGAGGCCGTTTTATTCGGGCCATGCCGAAGATTGCTTCGGTGTTGTTGGGCTCTCGACGGGGGTCGTGATGGGCATCGACGTTGGCTTTTTGCACGGCGACAACGCGTCATCCTGTTTCCTAGGCATCCTGAAGAAGGGCAACGCATCATCATCCGCTGCAACTTGTGTGGCATCCGATCTGTCTGCGTCAGTCATTACACAGCACGGTCGGTAGGCTGCTCCCCGGGGCCATTTGGTCGGCTCGGTGTATGACCGAGGCAGTTTCTTCCTATGGTCGTTTTCCCGTCAATATGATACTTTCTTATGGTGACGGTAATGTATCATGGCAGGGTGGAGATGAGATTTGAGTGAAGCAGGTGCGAAGTTTCCCCACTTCGAAGTCTCTCGATCAGGCTCGATCCAAGTAAGAACCCCTGTCACCAAGTGACTCCAACCTTTTTCCGGTGGCAACCTCATCTCGAGAGTATACCCCGAGACTACCGCAGTTGCCATTCCTTCCAGGACATAAGCAGCCATCATAAGAAAGGTCAAAGTCTGGAGTTTTCCTACCCAAGAAGGAAGACAGGGAAAGCCCGCCCTATCATTCACCCCGTGCTGCCAATTAGATCCACCCGTCATGAGGAAAATAGTTCCTGGCGAGGTTATTGGGGGGCTCCACCAGCGCCAACATTAAAATACGCAATGAGCATCAGCATTGCGTGCCATGTACACCGAAGAGGAATTTGGAATCCGGACTGTGCTCCGCCAATATTCGAAGATGTTAGCGTCTGTTGGATTGAAGTTCTGGGCGTGAAGCGCTGAGCGAATGTCTGTGATCGGGCCGAACCCCATCTTCTTCACGGTCCAGACCTCATTACTGACCGCCAAGGTAGTGGCTTGAAACCAACAACAGCAGAATAATCCTCTCCATATTGCTCTCTTGCTGTGGGGACGCGTTACTGTCGTGTGCAGGGGGACCTGGAAAGAATCGTACGGGGGGTCAATCCTTGATAAGGGCTCCCATCCGTCAGCTCCAAATGTTCTTCCAAGGTTAGTCCACCCCTGGACTAAAGTTGGGGCTTGCTACCCTTTGGTTCTACCTTGTCTCTTTACATGGTGTTTTCTTTTGTATAACATAGACGATATTTTCTTACTCAGGTTCATCCACGGCTTGATCAGGGGGTTTGCATTTCAGGGCCGACAAACAGACTATTTCTATTCACAAAACACAGAGAGAATATGTTCTAAGAGCCGAAGTTATATGTGGTGAGGGGAGAGCGAGTCAGTGGCTCATAATATCCATAAACCCAGCCTCGGCTTCAGCCTCTCAAGAGCATCAAATCCAGTACCGACGTAAACCTTGGAAACTTGGAAGCCTTATGTAAAAGGCTTACATGAACATGACAGGGCAGGTGACCTAGAGATTCGACAGAGAATCGACATCGTTGTAGCTTCCAAGGTTTCTTTTACCATGGACTTCTTAAAACTTTTTTTTATAACGCATCCACGTTTATACACTCTCAACCTGAGGCAAATCGTCTTCCAAGGTTTAGTCTTCACACATCTCCGCACGTCGACCTGATATTTCAACATATCAAATTGTGTACAATGTGTAGTTATATCAATCTACACACGTGTGACGTAATCCTACCAATCAAGGCAAACCGGAACCCAGCTATCCTCTTTATCCAATTCCGCGAATCTTGGTATGAAGTCATGAGCCATACCTCTCAGGGGGTTGGAATGAGACGCCTAATATACACGTGCAATTCTAATAAGTAACCCTATCTCGCGCGTTGATTATATCTTCGCATCCAACCGACAACCAACGACAACCAACGACAACACAACCAGCCGCCATCTATACACATCAAAACATATGAAACGAAAACAGCATCGACAGCAACAAAAGTTAAAAGACAAATCCCAACATGCATATTTCCACCCTCCTCATCGCCTCCCTCGCTTCAGCGCAATCCGTCCACCGACAATTCGGCCCAGGCCCAGCGGAACTGGAATACCTCGAATACATCAACGGGGGCTCAAATAAGGTCTTAGTGTTATGATATCTGTGGGATATATAGGCTTGCTAAAGTTTTTTTTTATTCCCCTGGGCTGAGACTGTTTATAAGTCGGCTACGGGTACTATGTGCTACTTGACTTTTTCTGATTTCTAGGGTTTAGGTAGGGATATTGGGTTTCCTAGGATTGGGTTCATCTAGTGTCTTTATTCTTCATGAGACAGATGAGATAAAACCACGGCATTCCTCTTCCATTGTTTCATGTTTCTTTGTAGGGTATTCTCAAGTCAATATTAGTGTTATGTCCACCTGCCTTAGGAGTCATTTATTCCTCTTTGTTATGTTTCGTTTATTCATTAGACCAAAGTAACGCTGGAAGAGTAGACCGAGGCAGAGTTTCATTGGCAGACTGAGATTGACTATTAGCCCTAATTCGGCCTGACCCCAACTAGGTACGTTGTACATGCATGTGGACGGTACAAATGCACAGATAAGCACCCTAGATCTTTCGGTAGGTGTATCCACAAATAAATAAGCTTGAATTAAAGAATTACACTAAGATTGCTTAAATAATTGTTACCCCGGAGAGATAGATGAAAACAATTCCAAAAGGTTCATTTGATCTAGATACCAGAGATATCCGCATTAAGAAATCTATATTCGATGGGGTAGACAGTAGGGAATAAAATAAAGAGCAAAATCCATCATATCATATCATTTTCCACGCTGAAAAGTCACAGCTCGCTCGGACCCAGAATTCAAAGAAAAGAAGAAAAGAGATGGGGGCGAAATAAACCGGAAGGAAACAAAAAAAGGAGCAAAGATAAGCTGATCTCATTTCATGAAATAGCAACCAGTCCATTTTCTTTGTTCAATTCAGTTTTTCACACAGGTCTCGGCGGGCCGGCCGCCAATACCCCGCGCCATGCAGATAGGAGCAGAGCGTTTCTCATACGAGCTATGTTCCCACACAGCACTGCTGGCGGGGAAGATAGAGCCACTGTCCGAGACACCGATGGTACCGAGATCCTCATTCGCAGAAACAATGTGCGGGACGACCAGTTCGACGCCCTTGCTTACGCTCGTACCGGAAAAGTACGGGTTGTGGCGCGGGGGCAGAGGCCGGGACTCGTACATGCTGCCGAGGTAGTCGGAGGCGGTGCTGCTGAAAGACGAGGCCACGGTAGACGGGGTGTTCGTCAGGCCGGGCACATTGCTGTAGCCGGCACCTCCGGCCAGGGCGGGAAGGCTGGAGCTGCTGCGTTGGACGGCGGGGCGGGAGAGCATGGGCTCGCCGGTGCCACGGTGGAACTGAGATAGATAGTTCCATGCGTCGGAGGATGCCAGAGATGAGGCACTGCGAGCTAATACGGGCTTCCACTCGGTGGGGTCGAGATCTGACTTGGCATCATGCACGTGGCTGAGTATCCGCATGGTTGGGATTGAGTTGCTTGGCACCCTGGTTGGAGTCATTGGGGCCACGATAGTGCGTGGAGAGAGAGGAGGAGATGTGGGTGGTGTAGTAGTGGAAGACATGGAGGACATGGATGGTAATGATGCTGAGAGTGGTTTGCAGGAGTCTTTGCGGCGGCAACTATATAGATGAAAGGAAATAATCAGTATTCAAGTATCAAGATATTATGCAGGTCCCAAACAAAGGATGGAAAATTGGGAGATGGAAAGAAGAGGATATCAATGACTCTAAATATAGAGTCGGGGGAATTGCCACATACCTTTCGCTACAATATAACAAAGTGTTGTTGGGGACAGTAATCTGGTTCTCACACATGGCACTGGAAATTGAGTCAGCTTTATGTTCAAGAAAAGACCGGTGTATCACAGATGACGGCAACAGGCATGTGAGGGAAATAATCACTGCAGAGATAAGAGTTTTGGGCTGATCACATACCAAAAGTTCAAGAAGCTGGCCATGTCAAACTCAGTATCGTCCGAAGACGTAGATGGCTTGCTCGCTCCTCTTTGTCCCGAGCCCAGTTTGGCGATGTTGGCACCGGATGTCCCTCGTCGATGTAAAGCTGGACGAATAGACTTGGACTTGGATACATGAGGAGTAGAAGGAGAGCGGCGGTGGAAGGGGGCTGTTTGAGTCATTTGTGGCGGTGAAGGCATTCAAATGCCTCACTATCTTATCAAAAGAAGACTATCGCCGAGACTGGAGCAAGTGTGGAGCACAAGAGCCCCTGAGGGAGCACAGACTGAGGGATTTGTGGTTGAAAGGTGTTGATTCCAACTGGAATGTGCCGGGCCGGTGTAATTGGGAATACAAATGCTTGAGGAAAGACACCGGAGTATGTATACTGAGAAACGTGGGGTGAAGAAATAAAAATGCTGATAAGGTGGTTAGCATCTGACACACACGGACGTTCTCGATCCTGATCCAACAGGGTGCTATCTTTAGCCTATGAGTGGGGGGAGATAAGGGGAGGAACCAAGTCAAGATAAGAGTTGACATACCTATAGTATAAAGGTCTATAAAAAAAAATTGAGAGACTGGAGACGAGGGAGGTGATACAGGATAAAAGAGGGGAATTGGAACATATAAATACAAAAGTGGGAGAAAAAGGCCCTGAAGAGAGAGAGAGAAAACGTGCTGTTGTGGTAGGATGAGACGATCACATCTAGACTCTTTGAAACGGAGTGAGGTACCCAGTAAGTCACTTCCGATGAGGCCCGACGCCATTATGCACGCTTAAGAGTACCTCCCGGGTACTTCCAAGGTTGGGAACACGCAATCTAGACCAGCTGAGTCACTAGTGACGAGCTGTGGAGACCCCCTTCTATAATTAATCGGCCTTTTTTTATACATTTATTTTCTAGTCCAAATACAATATACGTTTCCTCTGGATCTGATCTGAATCTGGAGTACTGCATTTGTGCTTGTTACAGTTAGAATCGCCTGAAACGCACAGAGGTTTCCAAAGTATATCATCTTGCAGTAGCGCAGGGTCCATATCTCCGGAGGGGGTCGGATCTGGCGTGATCGGTAAATTTACATTCTTGACACTTTACAACTTCGTACTTGTATACTCCGTATGTACATATACCATGGAAGAACTACATTCTAAATGACGCCATAAATCCCTCGAGTTCAATCATTTCATATATGGCGTGAACTGGGTATGAACATATCATTGCCCATTATTCCCCTTTTTTTTTTCGATAGGTCTGTACCAAAGTAACATAATACTCCGTAACAGATAATTGCCGGCTACGGCGACAACGAAAATAGATCGGCGAAACGAGAATCTCTGTGGGAAGTGCCACGTCTATTACGATATAGGGCTTCGTCACAGGGGATCATTCCAGGCCTAATCGTCGATCCTCCGTGTTTCGGGTCTATGGGGAAAACCGGGACGTTTCGAGAATGATTTTCCCGGAAGATAGGTGTCTTCAATTCCTCACACATGACTTTTTGTCACTTTTTTTCCTTTCCCGTTTGCGTTCCGCTGGGTACCGATTTGGTTCCTTGGATAAGTCAGGTCGGGGTATAAAATCTCACAGGGCAAAGTTGAGATTGATTTTTTTTTTATTGTGGGGCAGGTGACATTCATAGAAAATACATCATAACACTAAAGCTTTGACGAAAAAAAATCTGCTAGGTGATGCTGACGTTTGTCTCGATTCTGGGTATTTACAAATAATCATGCCTTATCAATCTCCATTGACTCTGGTGCTCGAGTCCCAACCGGGGTGGGTGTCGAAGGAACCTCGAGAGCCATTTTGTCAATCTGCTTCCCTGTAATCGAATCGGCCTGGCCCTCATCCCTATCGATCTGTTTTATTGTACCCGGCCCCGGCTTGCCTGTAAATCGCTCAGGTACTCCACGAGCGGCCTCGGCTGGGCCGACAAAGCATCCAAGCATCGAGCTCCAAATATACCCTTTCGATAGTAGACGGCGGATTTGGCCATACGCGTATGAATTGGCGTAAGGGAGAGCAGTCTCTGGATCGCGGTAACGCGAGGGCAATGAGGTGATGACGCAAAGCGATGACGAGATTTCTATTGCGTGAGGTTAGCCTTACACATTCCTAACAAATCTGATACAACGTACTGGTCAAACGAGCAGGCTTCTTGGCGTTGAAGTACATGCTGTATTTGCGATGGTTGGCGGTCGCATGATCAAAGTTTTCCAAGATCGTAAGAGTGCGTCCCGTATGCTCAATCACTGGAGGGGGTTCTGGTATCTCAGGTTGTGATGGATCTTTCACCATTCCATTTGATAATTGTGATTCGAACTGTAATGCGGATGGTTGGTTTAGGCTCTGGGCTGGAGCGTTTTCGGGCACCGTGGCTTGACTAGATGCTGCAGTGGCCGGGGAGGCTTGAGGGGCCTGTGCAATTGCAGGGCTGATAGTCGTGGCCAATTCAACTGGCCGAGACTCGTCCACTGGCGGTTCTCGTACTGTAGCCCCAGCAGCATGTGAGATAGGGGTCTCTACCGGAGTCGGTTGGGCACTAGCAACGTGCGGGGTGGCCAAGCTTGCATGGCCTGTTGATTCTGGAACTTCTTGATTAATCTTGGCGGAATCTGCACCCGCTACAGCCGCTGGGGGTTGGTCAATATCCATGGCATCGTCGTTCTTGGTGGGGGAAGGGTCAGGCGATCTTTGAGTAGAGCCCTTGCCCGCAGAATCTAATGCATGACGAGACGCTGGAATTTCCACAGCAAAATTGTTCCTCTCTGAACGTTTCGACGACTCCGAAGATTGCCTTTCAGAGGTAGTGGTTTGATCTGGTGCAGAGGGTGATACTGGTGTTTTTGCCTCAACCCCTGGAGCTTTCTTTTCCACGGCATTGTCCTTGCTTTGCTCGGCAGGCGTTGTCATGATTGTCTTCGTCTCTGAAGACTTTGCATCTGGTTGGCTGACGTTCGGCCCAGAAGACACTACGGGGGTGTCTGCATTCTCTGCAGTTGGAGCTGCGGCATTTTCGGGTGGCTTGTTTTCAGGCGTCTTTTGGTCTAATGTGGAGGTGGGAGGAGGTAGAGCGGAATTCGCTGCACCAGTAGTCTCACCTGTATGGAAGTCTGGTGGTGGTTGTGATGTGCCTGTAGTAGAGGCAGGGGCGGATCCAATGATGCTTGCAGACCCCAATGACTTTGACTCTGCCGCAGCCTTCTCTTTATCTTCCTTCTCTTTCTTTTTCTTCCTCGCTTCTTCTTTATCTGCCTTTGGTTTGATGTCGACTTTGCCCACCCGGGTAAGCCGGCCGTTCATCCATGTAGCCACACCACTCCAGTAGGAGATAACCGGACCATCAAGACGGCGATTTTGTAGTGCTTCAATTCTCGCTCGTCTTTCGTCCGCTTTTCTTTTTTCCGACAGCTCCCAGCGGTTCAAACTTTTGCTATTGAGCCGTTCCACTCTTGCAGCCTCCGCAAGATGATCTTCCTGGGTCATCTCTTTCGGTTTCAAGTGTGCCTTCCGCTTCTCCGCCTCCTTCATTGTAGCGATGATGCGGACTCGTTTCTCTTGGCTGTCCTTGAGACGAGCATGCGTAAGCTCCTTGTTGACCATGGTCTGTCGACGCGATGATTGTCGAGTAGGCCCATCCTCCACAGTGGGAATCCATGAGATGCGCTCTGACTTTTTCTTCGGACGAGGAGCGGCGGACATGGAGGATGGGGCGGTAGGATCGATCTTGACTCGTTTGCGCAAGGTCTGGAACCGGAGGTCATTCTGGGCTCTGCGCCTCTTGCGTTCGTCTTTTTGTAGTTTTTGTTCGCCCTCATAGTCGTTCTGCGCATTCGGTCCTTGGTCTTCATCCTCGTCCGACGACTCCAGTAATTCATCCTCTGCGTCAGGGTCTGCCACATCCGCAAACTCATTATCATCTTCGACTTCCTCAAAGAGAAGCGCCAAGTCATCATCCGCAGCGGCCTCAAGGAGGGCAGACATGTGCAGTCCTGCAGTACTCCGTTTCGCGCGCCCTCTGACCAATGACTCCACGGGCATCTCCTCTTCCTCCGAAGATTGTAGCCCGGACGATGGGTCTTCTTCCATAATGTCGGTCATGGTGTTACTGGGGTGGCAGGTGCCTTAAAATGGACGATTAAGCATCGGACGCGAGAAGGTGACGCGCGCGCGACAAACTATGAATTGCGTGTCAATGATAAACGAAAATGTGGAAAATTATAGCATATAGCATGTGGATTCTGCGACGCGATTAAAGAGCTGTTGAAGTGATGGAAAGATACTGTTGCGGGCAAGTTGGCAAGGAGGGTGGCTTGAACAGGTAGTGGCGCGAAAGAAAGGTTGATGCCTCAGGCGAGCAAAAATGATCTGGCCAATGATCTGAACTAACGTGTTTACATTGACCTTGAAGTAACGACACAATATTTCTCTGATGGTTCATTTGGTCCCATCCCCATTGCGTCGTGACTGATACCACTTAACTATTATCCCAGAAATGATAATTCACTCTATTTTGTACCACGATGCCACGAACCTCCCGGTTCTTCCGCTGTACCGAATACTTCTGGAAGCTTGGCGAACACCCTGAAGATCTAGAAAGCACGGGGTTCTTCAAGCTAGCAATCGGCAGATAAAGTCTAGTCTATTTACGACTCTAACAACACAGCCACCATGACCAATCCAAGAGGGCTTCAGGACGCCTCTGGGGAACAAGGACGAGGACACGTACCTGACCCATATCCCTTGCAGCCAAAACAAAATCTTGGTCAATTCTGCTTACATGACTGGTTGCATCAGATTTCATAACCCTCAAGGCAATAACTTCACGTTCGTGATGAGCTTGCTTCATTATCCTGTCAAGGATTCAAGCGTTGAGGCATGACGCACTGGAATGCGGGGCTCTTTTTTTCGTTTCCACTCTCTCTTTTTTAGGGTCATGCCATGAGCGCTTTTCTTCCGAGAGAAAATCTTGAATGGTACTTTTCTAGAGGGTCATGGGGTTATAAATTGGCTTGTATATGTACTAAACGTATAGCTCTTTATATTTGTTGACATCTCATGTCCAACCCAGCATGGGATCTTCCACAAATCCAATCGATGGGGCTGTTGCCTTTGCCAAACGCCTGGAGGAACTGCCGATTCCCGATATTATTTGTTCCCGTTTAAAACATGCAAAGTACTTATAGATGTCTGTCTAGTTACTCATGCACCTTGGATATCTCCCAGAACTCGGTAGAAAATGAAACCAACCAGAGAGTCATAGAGTAAATAGATCCAATTACATTCAATCAATCATATTTCCATATTTAAAAACCAAAATCCATCTGAATCAACAATTGTATTGTGGGTGAAGCTGAAGGAGGGCCCTCCACCAACCACAGCCATCTTCCTCGGGCATCCGGCCAGCTCCCCAACATCTCTTCTCCTTCTTTTCCTCTCCCCTTCTCATCCTCCCTTGACTTCTTCCTCACTTCTCTTTTTCTTCTTCTTTTGATTTCTGCATTCTTAGGGTGAATTCAACTTTCGGTTAGTGTTAAAAGACACTCTCGGAGCGCAACACTAACTCACTTCCAGCCACCTCGATCCCTTTGGACCCGGATCATCCTTTCCATCTTTTATTTCTCAACTTGACGCACTCTGTACCAGACCATCCTTGTGAATTTGCCGTGTTTTTTGAGCCTTGGACGACCATAGAAAAAGGACTTGTCCTTTTTTTCCTTCAGCTCAACTCGATTACTTTTGGACACCCGCAGATTGTCATACACCCCGAGCAAACGGTGAGATTATCATCAAAGGCCCTCGACACAGCACAGTGGTTCTTGCATTTGGAAAGAATAGCTTTCGGTACGAAATATTCTCTCGATTCATCTCGTATGGAATTGCTTTGTCGACCCCTCCCACTTTGCGAACTGCCCCCCAATAGCAAAACACGTATTTTGAACACCAACTAATTTTAATTTCTGTTTCTAGTGTGTCCTTGATTCCTCGGTCTATCCTTATTTCATGTTTCTTATTCCACGCCTTTGAACGATAAAGCTCATTTAAGTTCCGACCTTGCACCATTTTGGCATTCGCGCGGAGGTCATAATTTGGAAGAGATTCGGGCATCGCCTTACTGAAGGCATAAAGTGATAATCCATAATGTTGCCGGTTTCGCGACCTGACGGTCAGATGAATTTCAATTACATCCCAACCACCCAACCCATGTCGGGTACCTCGACGGGGCGCAGCTCTCCCAGTGATCTGGCAGGGTCTGGGAACCCAAGAATGCCATTTGGACCTTCTCCGGGGTCCATTGGCAGTTCGAGGCCGGGGGCTGGCTCCCCTTCTCATGATTTGGCATCACGTCTGTACTCGAAGCGGTAGGTTTGCTTCCCGTGGGACATGAAACCGAGACAATTAGCTGACACATTGACTCTTCTCGCAGAGCCCGTGAAATTCAAGCGCAAGAAGGCATTTCTCCTAGTATCTGGGGACCTCCTACTAGCGGTCATTCAACCCCGCTTCGCGAGAATATCCCCGAATCGCCGAGTCAAGATAGCTTTCCCGATTTGATTCCTACCACCAATGGTTCCATGGACAGCCCTGGCCGCCGAGCTCGCGCTGGAACAGTCCCATCTCGTTTCCCTCCAATGGGCACACTGAATGAGGTGGATCTTCAGCAGCCCTATATGCCGCAGACCTCACGACCAACACCTTCAACTAGTCCCTTTAGGCCCCCCGGTGTTTCCGGGATAGATACAAGTTCCAAGGTTGCGAGTTCAACTGGTGTGCCCAACCCGGCATCGCTATCCCGCCTTCGAGCTGGCTCGATGCCACAGAGAAGCAACTTTTTGGGAGGTGGCGGCCCCTTCGGCCCATCATTGTTTTCAACCACCTGGTCGACAGGTCGTGAGAGAGCTACAACTTTAACCAGCATTCGATCTTCGGAAGGACCGACTTCGCCCAGCCACTCTTCTTTCTCGAGGGATGGACTCGCGGACACCGATGTGAAGACCTTGGATTACTTAGGTCTTGCTGAGACCCCTCAACAGGGAATGGCCTCTCTTGCACGTCCCTCAATGGAAGCTTTGATGCAACAGCAACAGCAGCAACAGCAAGCTTCTGCGCTGCCGCCACTCCTGGCTGAGCTGGCGATGATGAAGAACAATAATCGATTCCGATCATACTCTGTCAATGCGAAGGAGAAGTACGCGGATGACGAGGATCTTGAATATGAGAGCCGTTACTCCCAACTTCCTTCGGGCACCATGACGCCAACCGCCGCTGCAACTGCTGCGCAACTTGCCGCCACACAGGCCCAGATTCACCAGCATAATCTCGCTGTTCAAGCTTTTGCCAGTCATGCCTCTGTCAGCAGACCCAGGGCACGAACTGCTGGCATTTTAGAGGCGCCTCCCCAGCGCTCATCCATCCGCAACTATCTCGCCACGCCTTCCCGCCTTGACAACAGCTTCAGTGCTGCTGATCTGCAGATTCCCGAGAATGGCGAATATGATGAACTGTCTGAGGCAGTTCAGCTGATGCATCTCGGCGGTAACGGCATTCCCGCCATGGTTGGTCGACAGGCCGGCGAGATGGCAGATGAGAACAACCAGGATGGGCCTACCCGGGCACTTTGGATTGGTAGCATCCCCGTGTCCACTACTGTCACGTCTCTGGAAGCCATCTTTGGCATGTACGGAAAGATCGAATCGACCCGTGTTCTAACTCACAAGAACTGCGGCTTTGTCAACTTCGATCGCCTTGACAGCGCTGTGCAAGCCAAGTCGCTGCTCAATGGCAAGGAAATTTTCCCAGGCGCAGGTCCCGTTAGAATTGGTTACGCCAAGGTTCCTGGTGCATCGGCCACCGGTACTCCTGGTGCAAATGGCATCCAGTCGTCTCCCACTCCTGACCCGAACTTCAGATCAAATCTCGCTGCGGCAGATGGAGCGGATCGAGCGGATAACGCTAACACTGTCCCTCAAATTGCCGCTCTGGCTGATCTGTTGCCTGAGATGGTGCAAATCGTGCAGGAATTCGGTGCAAGTGAAGATGACTTGAAGAACATCACCGCAAGCATCCAGACTTCCATCGCGTTCCAAGCTTTCGAGGATGAAATCCCTTCGGTCCAGGAAACGAGCCAGTCCCGGATGTTCGACGCCCCTCGTCTCCGTGACATCCGCAAGCGTATTGATAACGGTGCATGCTCGATCCAAGAGATTGAGGAGACTGCCGAGGCCATGCTTCCTGAGGTTGCAGAGCTAGCCTCCGATTATTTGGGCAACACCGTGGTTCAGAAACTGTTTGAGTTCTGCTCTGAATCCACCAAGGAGCAGATGTTGTCTCACATTGCACCCCACCTCTCCGAAATTGGTGTTCACAAGAATGGAACTTGGGCTGCGCAGAAGATCATTGATGTTGCGAAGACTCCTGGACAGATGCAGTTGATTGTTGATGCTCTCCGCCCTTACACTGTTCCTCTTTTCTTGGATCAGTATGGAAACTATGTCTTGCAGTGCTGCCTGCGATTTGCCAGCCCCTTCAATAGCTTTATCTTTGAGTCTATGCTCAGCCGAATGTGGGAAATTGCCCAGGGACGTTTCGGTGCTCGGGCGATGCGGGCTTGTCTCGAAAGCCACCATGCCACCAAGGATCAGCAGCGGATGCTTGCATCTGCTATCGCTCTCCACAGTGTGCAGCTGGCTACTAATGCCAACGGAGCCCTTCTGCTCACTTGGTTCCTTGATACGTGCACCTTCCCTCGCCGCCGAACAGTGTTGGCCCCGAGACTCGTGCCTCACCTTGTTCATCTCTGCACTCACAAGGTTGCGTACTTGACTGTTCTCAAGGTTATCAACCAGCGTAACGAGCCGGATGCTCGAGACATCGTTCTAAAGGCACTGTTCTTCAGTCCCGGCGATGAAGTTTTGGAGAAGATTCTAAGCGACCAGACATCTGGTGCGACTCTGATCTTCAAGGTCTTGACCACCCCGTTCTTTGACGAGTCTATGCGGACAGAAGTCGTGAAGAACGTGTCCAAGGTTCTCACAAAGCTCAAAGCTTCCCCAAGCCAAGGCTATAAGCGTCTGATGGATGAAGTGGGCCTCTCCTCACGAGGTAGCGGCAGTCGAGAGCATCACCATGGACGTGAGGCGGGCCACTCCACCCCGGAGAAGCCACAACACCGCCAGTCTCGCCACGGAAGCACTGGTTATCCAGCCCAGCCATCCATGGACAGACAGTATAATGGGCAGTTTACTCCCAACACGTTTGGACAGAACCCCGACACCCGTCCTATCTCCGCCGACCAGTCCAACCCCCGCCGCTTGATCCATACTCGAGCAACGGACTCGGAAACCACTTGAACGGTCTTTCCGGTGCAGGCGGATACAGCCAGGAATCCCTGAGCCAGCAACAGCTGCAATACCAAGCCTTCCTCGCCGCCCAGGCTCGTGGTGTTACCCCAGGCTATCCTGGCATGCCGGGCGCCAACTACGGCTACCCGGCTGGCTCGTCCGCTGTGGATAATCTGCGATCTCTGCAGCCACAGCAGGCTTCCCCGCTGTCTGGACCAGGGCAGATGAGCCCCAACCCGATGCTTGCCCAGAACTACCAGCAGTTCAGCCCCGTTGTCAACCCTGCCCAGATGTATCAATATCCTCCGCAATACTACCCCCAGGCACAGCCTGTGCAGGGGCAGTCGGGCGGAGGCCGACGTGGACGGGTGAGTTCATTCTCAGATCGGCCCTAAACCGTGTAATGCGGCAATACTAACGTACATGCCTTTGCGCCCAGCGTTGATCCCATCTTCGCGTATGATTTCTAATCGATCTTCCTGCCTTCCCATCTACATGTATAAATTTTCTTGATCATCTTTTTCTTCTTCTTTATTATCTCCCATTTCTGAAGTTCCTCATGGAGACCAAGCGGGTTTATCTAGCTACGTGTTGTGATTTCACTGTCCTATCTCTTCGCCCTGATCGGACGCTGGATCGCCGGCAGGGGAGAATCGGACCTGGGAGAGGAACTGGATGTGCATGGGGAATCGGTGAAAAAGTCTTGTGTCTCTCTTCTGGGTGGAGGCCCAGTTTTGTATCTTCTTCAGCGTTTTTGAATGACCTTGTATCTTGTGATCTTATGATAGGACTTTTTCTCTTCTGTCTATTGTTTTAAGATCGAGATTTTGGCTGCCTAGTGGAGCATATTGAATTGATTGATGCAGATGTGGAAATTATATCGTAGTGAATGCAAATAAATCGAATATAATTGAATTGAAAAGAATCAACTTTATCAAATCCCCTCCAATATTGAATTTATGAGAGGCTGAGAACTGAAACTTCCACAACTACCCGGCGCAATCTTTTATTTTCCCCATCACCAGCCAGGGGAAAGGCAAGGTCCAATATGAGCAATATTACCAGGGGGGAGACTGCGGTTCTCTTCCAGGATAGAAATATATACCTCCTCGACATCCCACATTCAATTGCGCTCGCGCAAGAAGGGAGGCCAACACGACACCAACAACCAGCCCCAGAATCAAGTTCAGGAACAGAAAAGAGTACACATAGAAAGATACTGAACCTATTTTCATGCGAACCTATAAAAGAGCCATTCCCTTCTACCGAGCCCAAAAAGCCAGCTGCGCTTGCCAAGGTCCTCGATAGCATTCCTATCTCTGAGAGGCGGTTCCACTCGGAACTGATACTGCCACTCGTGAGGGATTCTCTCGAAACTATCAGGGCCGGGTGTCCCCATGATCGCCGATGGTGTGAGGCTCGAGCTGTGCCTAGTGAATCTCACGATAGCACAGCGCCGAATCAGCATCCTCGGAAGCGGCGGAGGGAAAATGATACTACGTGCTTAGAGTCTGCGCAAGATGACCATGTTTCGACTAAAAGTGAACCACCCATAATTCTATCAACTACCTCGCCGAATGACTTCGAGGCTTTATCAGATCTTGCCATTGTCAAGAATCCATCACCAGAGCCTGCAATTGTTAGGGTTGGAAGCTGGCATGGTGAAACGAATTCTCCGTGTGAATATGTGGTCCCACCTGAGTCGAGCTTTGTGCTTTGTACACTACCTCTATTTCAAACTGAAGTCGACCGTCCATCTACATCCAATGACTATCCAATCCCCGGGCTCCCCAAGCACCAGAAATTCAATCTCATCCTCATGGACCCGCCCTGGCCAAACAAATCGGTACGGCGCAGCAGGCACTATCAGACACATCACTATTCTGAGATGGATGTGCTTACTGAAGGATTACGAGATATACTTCGTGTACACTCGCACGATCCCAAAATAAATCAGGGGCTACGACCTGAAACACACACTGGATGCCCGATCCAAAGTGAACAATCTATAGCTGCTATATGGATCACAAATGCGGAAAAGGCCCGGCGAGCAGCATATGAAGCCTTGAGCGGCGCGGGCTTTTCCATCTGCGAGGAATGGATCTGGGTCAAGACTACGTGGGACGGACAACCGATCACAGCACTGGACGGGCTCTGGCGAAAACCGTATGAGATCCTTGTCATTGGCCGCAAGAGTGGCCATAATCTCAATGTCAACGCCAAGGCCAGCAGTACACCACCCCTGTCTCAAACGGATGACCTGACGCGGATAAGTGAGGCCATTACCACGAGACGAGTCATCGCTGCGGTTCCGGACTTGCATTCTCGTAAACCAAACCTGAAATCTATTTTTGAGGATGTGTTTTTCACTGAGGCTGGTCAGCTTCAGGGGTATTCTGCCCTTGAGGTGTTTGCGCGCAACTTGACCGCTGGCTGGTGGGCTGCTGGCAATGAGGTTCTCCGGTTCAATTCCCGTGAATGCTGGGTCGATCTTGGATAGAAGGATGCAGATTGTGCCAATCAGCGTTTCGGGTCGGCCAGGTGCCTTCCGTCGATTGCTTCCAATGCCTTCAGCTGTCAACAACTATTGACTCAGCGCTAATGTGCACGGAGTCATGATACTTGCTTGCACGTCATATATGCATGATACATGACGCATATATATCGAGGTCCTATTCTAGGCGCACTGCATGCTTATTCCACGCGAGTCCATCTCACCCCCGATAACCCCGATCCGCGCGGCATGTTCCGCGCTGACAAAATATAATATAAAAAATTTTTAGTGATTTTTGCTTAAACTAATAAAATGACATCTTGAGTCTTAACTACCATGCCCATTCAGAAAATCAGAAACGTTCACAGGGAACTCTCTTTTATTAGACAAATTAACCCTGTGTGACCCCCTTAAACCGGTCGAATAGACAACATTTTCGGCCCCAAAAGATCTTCTACTTCAGAAGATTCTTCGGAAAATGGCCAAAGACCAAGAGAATGGCTCAGAAGTCGATTCAGAGCGCCCAAAATGCTTCAACAGCACATTCCAAGAAGTTCTCTTCGTCCTAACTGCCACAATGGCCATTGGCCAGCAGTCATTTTTCCAGGGCTGTATTGTGGGAGTAACCGCATCTATTGGCAAGGATTTGCATATGAATGCCGCTGAAATCACCTGGATCAATGCCGGTGCTTCGTACGTATCGTTTTCTATATCTATTTCTCTCCACGTTTTCCCCGGGTTTTATCCAATTTCGATATCGTCTTATCCTTGTATATATCATACAACGTATATCACACAGCATACACAGACTAACAATGAAACCTCAACAGCCTCACAAGCGGTGCGTTCCTACTTACCTTCGGGAAGTTAGCCGACATGTTCGGACGGAAGATACTCTTCATCATCGGCATGGCTGGTTTCACCTTCTCGCTACTCATCGCAGGCTTCGCAACAAATGCCATCTACATGGATGTCTTCTCGGGGATTTTAGGTTTATTCGCAGCCGCTGTCGTCCCACCCGCGGTCGGCGCCCTGGGTGCTTCTTACGAGAAGCCCTCGAAGCGCAAAAACCTTGCCTTCGCCTGCTTCAGCGCGGGAAACCCGCTTGGTTTTGTCGGCGGCATGATCATCTCCGGTGTCGCGGCGCATTTGTATAACTGGCGTGCTTCTTTCTGGGCTCTCGCTGTTATATATGCTATCTTTACTGTTTTGACCGTGTGGACGGTTCCGGCTGATGGGTTTGATAGAACGCCTCTGAGCGTTAACGCTTTGAAGCAGTTTGATCTTCTCGGGATGGTGTTGGTTGTTGTTGGGTTTGCTTTCTTTTCGAGTTCGCTTTCGTATGTTGTCCCTCTGGTGGATTCGACATAGTTTTGGGATTCCCGCTGACGACTTTTATAGTCTCGCTGCAGATGCCCCGGATGGATGGAAAACGGGATACGTCCTTGCTCTGTTTATTGTGGGCTTTTTCCTTCTCATGGCGTTTCTGTATTGGCAGTCCGTTGCTACCAACCCTCTAATGCCTCTTTGGGTCTGGCGAGATCGTAATTTCTCTCTGGTATGTGTGTCCACTTTCTAAGGAAATAAAGATTGAAACTAACTGTTCAGCTCATTGGAACTTGCTGCATTGGCTTCATGGGCTTCTCTGCCGTCAGCTTCTTCCTCTCCCTCTACCTTCAAAACCTGAAGCATATGTCTGCCCTTGAGATCACTGTCCAGCTGCTCCCAATGGTTGTCAGCGGGGTGCTAGTCAATGTCGTCTGCGGTCTGGTCCTGCACCGCGTAAGCAACAAAATTCTAACCGGCATCGGAGCACTGGCGTATACAGTCTCGTTCCTTATCCTGAGCTTCATGACGCAAGAAGCTACCTACTGGGCATTTATCTTCCCAGCGCTAGTTCTTGTCGTTGTTGGTGCCGACATTCAATTCAACGTCACAAACGTACGTTCAATCCCTTTGTCTTTCAATTCCTTGTCTTTATGCAATATGTTCCGTCTTGGGGGTATTGACTAACTTCGTCTAGATGTATGTGATGTCCACCCTCCCACCCTCCCAGCAATCCATCGCCGGCGGTATCTTCAACACCGTCAATAAGCTGTGCAGCAACCTGGGCCTTGGCATTGCTACTTCTGTGCAAAGCTCAGTCGCCCTTAGCATGACTGCCTCCACGCCTGCCATTCGGCCTTACCTCTCAGTTTATTGGTTTGCGGCTGCGGCTTCGGGTGTGTCATTGGTTTTGGTGCCGTTCTTGACGATCGGTAAACAGGGAAATGATGTCCCGCAAGACGTCCGGCTGATTCCCAGCGAGGGGACTGGTGAAGAGGTTGGCGAGAAGACAGCTGTTACTGTCAATACCAATTCTGTGATTTCTTCTGCTGTTGATATCACGGAGCACGAGAAGAGGTAGCCTACTGGGCTGCCTTTTCATTCCGAAGAGGGTCGGCACTGTGATAGAAGAGCAAAATGTGTGCGATATCTGAACACACTAGATATAGCTGGGCATGTATATACATATCTCACATCCCAGTATATCCTACTATTCTTCAGCGGAATGCCAGACACTGACACATATCATTAAATGTACTTAACAACATAACACTGCCTTCAAGGCACAGTTGAAGAAAGACATGTTATCTATACGAATACCAGATCCAGAAACGCCCCCTCGAAAAATAAACCCATCCCCATCTCACTCTAATCAAACAAAGGCCCCAGACTAACCAAGCTAAACCTCAAATCTGGATTTCCACCCTCTGCCTCCATCTTCAAGAACCTCCTAACCCCCAACTCCAACGCAGCCTCACTAAGCGCATCCTCCCTCTCCTTCAATACACCCCTAGCCAAGGGCCCTTTCCTCCTCCCATCCAACTCCCAAAGCGTCCCATCCAGCCCCCGAACAAAAGCAACAAAATGCAAATCAACATTATCCTCCGCCTCGGGCGCAGCCGTATCCCCCAACTTCGCCGCATCAGCATGCGCACTCTCCAGCGCCTTACTATCATAAAGCAAATCCGCACGCTGCACCGGCTCCAACCCCTCCGCTTCCCGGAGCAACGTATCCAAATCCGAGCCGGCAATGACATGTTTCCGGGCCTCGCCGTTCGAGACAGCGTGTAGTAGCCCGATCAGCCCACATGCATTGCGGATAGTTTGTTTGAACCACATTACAGGCTCTGCGGGGCCGGAGCCGGTGTAGTTGTCTTTGGAGGCGTCTTCTGCTTCCCGGGAGGCTTCGTAGGTTTGTGAGACGGGGAAGACGAGGAGGAGGGCATGGGAGGGGCGGGGGACGAAGGCGAGGAGGTCTGGCTCATCGATGGAGAATACATCGGTGAAGCCTAGTGTTGGGGGGAGACCTAGTTGGTGCACTAGGTGTGACATTACTTCGGGGTTGTTTTCTAGGTGAGGGGGTTAGTTTGGGGTTGGGATATGGAGTTGAGGGTCGGACCTAGTGGCACGAAGGCCTTTTGTGTGTGTGGGACGTCGACGTGTGCCATTGTGTGCTTGGTTATGGTGGTGGTTATGGTTATGGTGATGGTTATAGTGGTGTATATGTATGTGTTCAGGATAAGGTGAGGTTTGGGGGCGGAAGGATTGCGGGGTCCGGGAGTTTCCACGTTTTGTAGATTAATTGCTTTAATTGCTTTGATTGCTTTAGACCTTTAGACCTTTAGAGCTTTGATGGATTGCTTTGATTATAGCTTATATTTTAGGTCTTGAGGAATATGACTTCTACTATCATCGGGTTATACTTTCCTAAATTATTTGGCAATAAAAACCTGGAAAGCTGGTCGTTTGTTTCAGATGTGTTTGCAATGTTTGCAATATGTGCAATGTTTGCAGATACTTTTAACCATGACAGGTAACTAACTATATTAATAGCAACAGATCCGAGCCCTAATTTAATTTCACTACTGCATTGACCTCCTGTGTTGTAGTAAGATCGCCACACACAAAGGAGTTAATCACCGAGGTTGGTCCCCGGGACCGTTAGGACAATGTCAAAGCTATACGCTAAATTCGCGGCAAGAAACTCTTTGTTTCCAAGACAAGCTAGTACACGCCCTTAGCGTCATCTCAATCATGATCGCCACTCTATTTGCTCAAAATATCAACCAGTCCCGGTAGTGATTGACACATCGGACCCATTACCAATTTCGGACTGCCAGGAAAGTGGGAACTCGGCCAAGTTAAACGAAGCTAGACCTAACGGCGTGAACTAGCTTTCGCGAACCCCCTGCCGAGAACTGCCCAAAATCAGACGCGGATTTCTTCATAGAAAAAGTCCGTCTTCTTGGCGGTCCACACCACATGCATACTCGGCAGTCTTAAATACCCTATATGTTAATTTATATCCCGTCTATTTCACGATCGACAGGGAGTAGAATCCGCGGCTCTTAGTTAATACTTCCGCGGACAATGCCATAGCCGTGTCGATCTCGAGGTTAGCGCCCAAGTTTTTCTACTAAAAAAGTGCCTTGAAAAAAAAGTCAAAGGCTAAAAGGTTCTAGTTCTCTCGCCCCTGTATTTTGTAAGGTTTTCTGCGGGTCCTCCAGGGCTGTCAGGAACGTTCTTAATAAGAATCCTTCTCCCCCACATTCGAATCCTTCCGGCAATGTCAAGCTTTTGCCGATATGACAGACGAAAAGCAAAGAAGTACGGCGGTTCAGACCGTCGCCGCAGTCTTCCTGCCCATCGCCACTATCACGGTGATGCTGCGCATCTATGTGCGCGGCTGGATCGTTAAGGCATTTGGATGGGATGATGGGACCATGGTAATTGCACTGGTATGTTTCACTTTGAATCCTTCATTGAATCTTGAATCCTTCCCGTGATAGAGATCTAACAAATTCAATCTACAGTTATTCTACGCCATGTTCTGCGGAACCATGATCGGAGGCTCGATCTATGGCACAGGCTATATGCTCGAACATCTCGCGGTCGACAATCGTATCATGGCAATGAGATACTGGTGGCTCTGCGAGATCGCCTACTGCTTCGCCTCGGTTGGATGCAAGATCTCCGTCTGCATCTTCCTAATGCGCATCACTATCAGACCCCTCCACATCTTCATCCTCTATACCGTCATGGCCTTGACCGTCATAGCAGGCCTGGTTTTCATGTTCCTCATGCTTCTCCAGTGCAAGCCACTGGAATACTTCTGGACTCGGCTGGCCGAAGATCCTACGATCCAAGGCTATTGCATCGATATGAGCATCATCGTCAACATGACCTATGTCTACAGTGCATTTGCCGCACTGTGTGATTTCACCGTCGGCATATTGCCCATCTTCCTCGTGCGCAAACTTCACATGAAGCGCCAGACCAAGATCGCCGTCATGGGTATCTTAAGCATGGCTTGCATGTATGTTGTTTCACGTTTCCGTACTAGTTCCAGGTTGCTGACAAGATATTCTACAGTGCTTCATCGGCGGTTATCGTCCGTGTTCCCTTTGTCGAATCATTCCGTGACCCTGATTTCCTCTGTATGTTCCTCCTCCCAAATGGTGAAGACATGAGGATTGAACTAACCAAATCCCCCTCATTCCAGACGCAACATATCAAATCGCCATCTGGTCCAATGTCGAAGCAGGCCTCGGCATTACAGCCGGTAGTCTCGCAACTCTCCGACCCCTCCTACGCATCTGGACGGGCTCTCGCTCAGACCCAGATTACTCCACTGGATTTCCGGGTGGACGCTCACGGTCTGCCTCGCGCCAGCTGGGCGGCGGTGAGAACCGGCCTTTTCCTTTAGGCTCATTGGATGAGAGCGTGCAGTCTCACTTGAGACCGGATAAGCTTGCTGTCACTGTCACGACGATCAAGGGCCAAAGGGATCATGATGATATCTATGGCACGAGCCCGAGTAGCAGCGAGGAGAGGTTGACTATTGACCGGCCCTCACCTCGGTTGCCGAATGATATGGGGCTGGGGATTCATCGCACGTTTGAGGTTACGCAGACTTCGACGGATAGGCATGATGCTGAAAGAATTGCGATGGAACATGTATAATTGATCGACGTATATATATGACTTGGTAAATTTATATTAATACCTTATTATCATCATTCTTTTCGGGGGATGTATAATGTAATGCTTTCTAGTGAGGATGAATCGTGAATAATGGTTATACTTGATTCATTCAGTCATTGGAACTTTTGATCAATATGTACTTGAGATACCTCTATTGACCAGGCTGCTTTCCCCGCTTCAACGGCTCGAAAATACCCGTCCAAAGCTCATTAGCCTCGCCCAGGAAGTATGTCAAATCAACATCAGCCAAACTAGGATCCCCATCTCCAGGCATAGTCTCAAGCTGCGAGATCAAGTTCTCCAGTCCAAAAGCCTTACCCGTTGCCTGCGTCGCTCCAGCTTCGAGCATAACATTGACAACATGGATATGGAAATGGTAGTAGGTCGGTTGATCTGCGAGATTCAAAAGTCAGCCAAAAGAAATCCCCCAACGCAATGCAAGTCCAAACACAAACTCACAATGAACATAAAGCTTAATCTGATCCTCCTCCAAACCAGGATACATAGAAACCGTAGCCTCAAGCACCCTATCCCTCAAATACTTCAACCAAGGCACAAAACTCTTCTTAAGATCCCTCAAACTCCAAATATCCCTTCTCTGCACCAAAGCCAACAAATGCAACGACCCCATACTCTTCCGATCCCAGTTCAAATCAGGCAACATCAAAAACCCATCTTCAGGCCCGTGTCCCTCATCCCGCATAATCACATCCTCTTGCTCAGTCCTGCCCTCCAGGATATTAAAAACCCAGTTCAGTCGCCCTTCCTCGCGCTTCGCTTGCATGTACGGCCGCACGTGCGTGCGGTATATCTCCGCGGTCTCGGTTACCATGCGCAGCTGCTGGTCTGAGTACTTCTTGATGTGCTGTGCTGTGCATGGCCAGATGAGGTTGAGTTTGAGGTCTTGCTGCGGGTGGGTGGCGGCTTCGGCGGGTGTTGGATCCGTGGTGTTGCCGCTTGATGAGGCTAGGTACCAGCGGTAGATGTCGTTATCGCCTAGGTTGTTGATTCGGGAGATTGCGGCGTGGAAGGCTTGGAGTACGGCAAGGGATTCGGTTGCGAATGCCGCTCGCTCGGCTATTAGGATGCCTTGTGTGTTGTCGATTGTGCCTAGGAGGGCAATTCGTCGGCCATTTTGGTCTGGAGGGGGTTTTTTAGTTTATTGATTGCTGCGGGGAGTGGGGTGGATGAGTCGTACCTTGTTTGAGGAGCTTGCTCACTTGGAATTTGGTGATTAGTGCTTCTGGAGCGATCTTGTCGGCGTCTGGGAAGTCGGCCATGTTTGGAAGCTTTCAATGTTGGAGTGTAGGGAAGTTCAAGATGTTCTGTACGATTTATCCAGCTTTATCTGGTGGGGCGGTCAGGCTTATCGTTTTGGTGTAGATCTATGAGATGGATTCTGTTGCAGTGCCTTGAGAAATCATTTTGTTGTTAGAAATCTATATAATACTGTAGAGCTGCTTTGGTATTATGATATATTGAGCCCCGTGTGTATCCATACAATGTATTGAATCAAAACCAATTGGTCTCAGGCCTTCTTCAGTACTCAGTTCCTATTTGATGAAGGCTGTAAGGAGATCGTGGTACGCGATGTCAAGCAAAAGTGAGTATATATCACAAAATTATACTATCAGATGCATTGATATACAGCCTAGAATCAACTAAATGCCCTCCATCAACTCCATCGTAGCCTACATAACAAGACTTCCTTAAGCAGCAGCAGACTCCTTGTTTCCATTCGTCACCGATGATGGGGTTGTATGCATCTAGTAGACAATCAGAGAAAGCCCACGGGCAAAAAATAACATGGATAGACCATCGAAGGGAGATTAAAACCTACCGCATCTGCAAACTGCAACCACTCCTCCACTCCCTTGACAAAAGTGTCATCTGCCGCCGGAAGAGCCTCATGCCCCCATACTACAAACTCATCAAAAGTTCCCTGCGTCTCCATGATCTTCACTGGTTCCTCAGGCTCAGCCTCTGCATCCTCAGCGCCATCGCTGTCTGCCCGCTGAGCTGCAGGTAGCACACGGTCTGTGGGTGTTGCGACTACACCTATATATTTTCAATGGTATAGAGTCAGCCAATCATTCAATTACAGATTGTATAGTCCTGGGGGGCTCATTTGGACGTTCTCTCGTACCTTGATAGCCATCAGGAAGGGCGACGCGTCGACCTCGAAGTTTGCGTCCACGGAAATGCGCCGTTTGTGTATTATCTGGATATAACAGCGATATTGTTAGTTATTGTTTATGCATTAGACTAGCCAGTTTTTCTTTAGCTAGAGCTGTCTGTCTTGCATGCCTTTTTCGTCTTTCACTGTCCAATACCGATCCAACGAATCAATTGGTCCATCGTGGTGAATCCGGCACGGAATAATATTTGGTGTACATTGCAGAGTCGAGTCGTTCTTTTCGGATTGTGAGCTCGCTTTTGAGGGGAGCTGGATGGTGTACATGTCGGGCATTGTGTCGGTTGCTCTTCGCTGATGGATATTCTGTTCCGAGGACTAGTGGGGTAGTAACGGTCTAATCCAGGATATTTGCTAGGATAAATTGGTTGCGGGTTTGTTCTTTTATCGTTGAAGACTGGAATTGGAGAGGTATTGTCTGGGTTCCGCTGTTTGGGTGATTGCAGTGATTCTTGCAAAAGATCGGAGATGAGGCGCGACGCGTTCTCCCGTTCTCCGCGTTAAGTGGAAATTCGAGGGATCGAGACGGAAAATATCTACACAGCTATCTCTACAACTAGATTGTAGACGTTTCAATGCATTTGAAGTCCCAAAAGGAAAAGAAAAAAAAAAAGAAAATATAGACTTCGAAATTCTCGTGGAAATGCAAATTCAATTGGCAATGATTGGGGTATACATGTACAGAATATCTAAGCATGTCTCTTCGAAAGCTATATCGAATATTCAACATCAGCGCTTGCGTGTGGTCTTCTTCTTCTTCTTCTTTTTCTGGCCCTCGCCCTTCTCCCTGTTGTCGGCAATCATCCGGGCGGGCCATTTCTTCAAATGCTCCCGCTCAAACGCATCCTTCTCCCGACGATACAAAGCCATCGTAGCCCGAGCATCTTCCACACTAGAATGCGCTCCGTCCTGGATCTTAATACCTAGGAACTCCTCAGCCAACATCTTCAAACGCGGTGATCCACCGCCTGCGATTCTCCGATATGGCGCGTGCTTGCTGGTGTCTCGGATGTCGCGCTTGGGGTGGCTAAGGAGGAGAGCGTCCAAATCATTGCTGACGGCATGACCGACAAGAATGCGGTCCTTCATGATATCTGCAATTTCTTTTTGGACGTGTTCAAGGGTTCGTGCCTCCACCATGTGCTTCGGGGCAATTCCGCTAACATGCGTGCGCCAGTCTGTGACCATCTCCTTCGGGCGCACGTAGGAATCGTATATTTGGTCGCCGTTGAAGTTCACGACACTGACGCGGGCAAGTGCCGAGTCGCTGTCAGGGTTTGGTCCGACTCCGACCATTTCACAATCCATGGCGACATATTTTCCTAGTTCGGCACTGGGAATGGAGAGTTAGTAGCTGGTATAGCAAAAGGACAGTCCAAATAGTATGGCGGGGCGATCTGCTAGCACTTACGTTGATGAACGGCCTTCATTTTCCTTGTGACGCGAACTCGTCTCGATCTTGGGGGCTGATGCAGCTGAATCGCCAGCCTCTGACTTAACAGACATTCTTTTGCGCTTGAAGGTTGGTTTGGCGTCTTGGTTATATGGCTTTTGCTTCTCGGTCAACTTTCGTTTCTTCACGATCCCATCTCCGGACTCGAGCTCGGAGGGCTTGCGCTTGACAATGGGATCTTTCTTGAGTGTCGCCTGCAGCTTCTTCCAATTACTGGAAAGCGCTGTCTTGTCCATTCTGTGTCTGTTGGTGAGAGAGAAGATGGGAAGATAAAAAAAGGCGATAAGCAAGTAAATTTTCGGGACCCACTTTTATTTGGGGTTGATAGTTGACCAGGTAGCGACTTTGATACAGCCCTCTATATTCTCGTTAGATGTACAATTAACTGTACAATTAACTGTACAATTCGGGGTTTAGTGTTTAGTTTGATGCAATTGAAGTGGCTGGTTTACTTTGTGCTTAAAAATATTGAGATGAAACCTGATCCTAACTCATTGAAGGATCACATTATATGTCCAGATAACAAAATGCACGCGCTTTTAGAGGGAATATGCAGAATCACTCGTATCCAGTCTTGAAATCCTTCGCAGACCACTTCTCCGTAATCTGTCGTCTGGCCTTGCGTGCCTGGGTAATTGGTGTGCGGGACTCGAGCTTACCCTGAACGATCAATGTTCGGAATCGGTCATCCAAGAGATTGCCTTCCGGCTTCAGGAGTCGTAGAGAATCCTGCAGCTCGTCAGGAAGAACCAGCTCCAACGGCTGTGCGGGTACACTAAAATAACTTGTTAGTCGCAACATAGGTATTGGAAAATGAAAAGAAACGTACGCTCTCTTGCCACCGAAGGTCTTCTTGCGGAGGGCAATCTCAACATCATCTTCAGACTCATCCGCATCCGACTGGTTCTCGCGCTCGAGCTCCCGTTGTTTGATTTGCTCGGCGATCTTGAGAATATGCTCGGCCTGTGCATCTCTCTTTACCCTCTCGGCTTCCCACTTCGCTTTCCCCTCTGCTGCCTTGCGTCGGATGACCTTGTTACGCTGCGTCTTGGATTTACGCTCGGGGCGCTTCTTGTTCAGCCACTCAGACTTCTCGTACTCGCTTTCGAAGCCCTCCCAGGCACTCTCGTCATCCGACTTCACCTCGCCGTCGTCGTTCTTGGCCTCCTCGATCAAACGCTGCTTCTCAGCTTCCTTGGCCTCTTCTTCCAACCGCAGCTTCTCGGCCTCAACTGCCTTGGCACCGTGCGTCTCCAATAGTTTGTCCCACTCTTCGAACACAGGATTGTAACTGGTTCCGGCGTGGGGCATCTTAACAGAGGGGACGGGCTTTCCATTGGCAGCAAGCGAGATCGGGGCGTGTTTTAATGTAGTCGGCTCAACCTTGGGCTTGGGCTTCTGCAGGAAATCAAAGCGAGGGTCGTCGTACGTGAGCGTGGGTTCGGTATCTTCAGCCCACGGATCGTAGAACTCATTGTCGGTCTTCTTGCCCATAGGGTTTCCTCCCTTCGCTACTTGCTTCAGGCGGAGATATTCCTTCTTGCTGACCCAGTCGCTCTTGGGCTTCTTCGTCTTCGGCTCAATGACTCCATCGGTGACGTTCGGGTTTACACGCTTCCGGCCATCCAGGGCGGGGATCATTGACCGCTGGGCAAGGATCTCGTCTGACTTGAGGGGCTTCTTTTGCTTTTTGGCGATAGACTTGCGTACTTCTTCATTACCGACAGTATCGAGAACGAAAAGCTGATCGGAAGGCTTTTCGGAGATAAGACCACTAAGAGAGAGAGAGAACAGTTAGAATCCCAATTCATAAGTATAGGCGAAAAAAAAGAGCAAGGACAGCCTACCCTGTGATCTCGGCGTCCTTCAGATCGCGCAAACCCTCCTGCACCGCGGTGATATCGACATTCTTGCGCCACGCCTTCTTGCCCTTACGGGAAGTTTGCTTGAATTGCTTCGGGGCATCCACGGAGGTCGACATTGTGGAAAACAACAGAGACAGACAGTCAGCGTTGATAGTATGAAAATATTGGCTTATCTTTTTTTCTGGGCCAAAAAATTTCTGGATCTGCTTATCTCAGCACGCGCGGGGGCGGTGATCGCGGCTACCACGTTTACCGCGCTTGATTACGAACTCGCTTTTCTTCCGCTTCAAGCTGTCATCACTTACGGCGCGTGAACTCCCCATACGCCTGTGGGTTGTAATTTTCCATCTTTCTGGTGGCACCCCTGATCTTTTACTATCGATTTCCGAAGATTTGAAACTGCGCTTAGCGCGATCGTACGCCATGCCTGTCGTCAAAGGAGGTGTCTGGTAAGTGGCATTGGAACCCGCCCACGAGCTTTCGTCGCTAACATACTCTTAGGACGAATATTGAGGATGAAGTGCTTCGGGCAGCTGTAAGTTATTTTGACTCATTAGGAAATTCCCTAGCCAATGTTTGACGGAGCAAAAACTGACCGATCGCAGGTATCCAAATATGGTCTCAACCAGTGGGCTCGAGTCTCCTCACTGCTCGCACGGAAAACCCCAAAGCAATGCAAGGCGCGCTGGATTGAATGGTTGGACCCGGGTATTCGCAAAACTGAATGGTCGCGGGAAGAGGACGAGAAACTACTCCACCTTGCGAAGTTGATGCCCACGCAATGGCGTACAATTGCCCCCATCGTCGGGCGCACTGCCACGCAATGTCTCGAACGCTATCAGAAGCTTCTGGATGAAGCTGAATCTCGCGAAAACGACGAGCTCGGTCTGGGAGGACCCGGCGAGGAGAGCGCCGCCCCTAGTGCGGACGATGTCCGCCGCCTACGGTACGTGGATTTTGATTTTACTAAATTACATGATGTTCGTGTTGCTGATACTTTTTAGACCCGGTGAACTCGACCCCGACCCAGAATCCAAGCCTGCCCGTCCCGACACTATCGATCTGGATGAAGATGAGAAAGAAATGCTGAGCGAAGCGCGTGCTCGTCTCGCCAACACACAGGGTAAAAAGGCCAAGCGAAAGGCCCGAGAGCGTCAATTAGAAGAGTCACGTCGACTGGCCGTTCTCCAGAAGCGTCGCGAACTCAAGCATGCCGGTATCAACGTCAAGGTTGTGACGCGGAAGCCTGGTCAGATGGATTACAATGCGGACATTCCATTCGAAAAGCCAGCTGCTCCTGGTTTCTATGATACAATTGAAGAGAAAGATCTGAATGAACGCCAACGGGAAGCATTCGATCCTCGGAAGCAGCAACTCGCAAATAAGAGAAAGGGCGACCAAGACGACGATGCAGAGCGCAAGAAGCGCAAGAACGATAAAGGCAGCGCTTCGGCTGCTTCTGCTGCAGCTGCACGAGCAGGTCAAATGCAGAAGATTCGTGAGGCTGAACAGAGCAACAAGCGACGGGGTTTGAACTTGCCAGCACCGCAAGTCAGCGAAAGCGAACTGGAAGAAATTATCAAGATGGGAATGGCTGGTGATAAAGCTAGTCGAATGAGCGCCGATGAAGAAGGCACTCGGGAACTCCTTGGAAATTACTCGACTATTGTTGGAGGAACTCCTATCAGAACCCCGCGAGCTGCGCCGGAGGACGATCACATCGCCAACGAAATCAAGAACATTCGAGCTTTGACCGAAACTCAGTCTTCCCTTCTCGGAGGGGAGAACACACCTCTCCACGAGGGCGGCTCATCAACTGGATTTGATGGGATAGCTCCTCGGAGGCAGGCAATTGTCACTCCCAACCCCATGGCCACGCCATTCCGCCAGGCGAATGGCATGGGTGCAACACCTATGCTTGGTGGAATTGGGGCCGGTGCCACGCCCTTGCGCACCCCGCGAGACCATTTAGCTCTGAACCGGGAGGGAGAGGGGGGCCAGCTCATTGGCAGCACACCCCGAGACATTAAAATGCATGAGAACTTCACTCGCCAACAGATGCGCAGCAAGCTGGCCTCGCTTCCCAAACCCAAGGAATCCGAGTGGGATTTGGAAGATGTTCCATCTGAGTCCGCTGAGCCCACCGCGTCTGTGGAGATTAGCGAAGAGGATGCAGCCGAGCGTGATCGCCGTAACAATGAGGCACGGGAGAAGGCTGCCAAGGCTGAATTCAAGCGTCAATCACAAGTTTACCAGCGAGGCCTGCCTCGTCCCGCCGTTCTGAATCTAAACGCCTTGTTGCAACGTGCTTCTCAGGCCACCGACACCATTGAAGGCTTGATTGCCAATGAAGCCGCCATCCTGATTGCACACGACTCTCGCAAATTCCCCGTCCCCGGCGCGCAGGTCGAGGGCCAAGCACCAAAGTTAAGTCAATTGGACGACCGGTTCTTGGACGCAGCACGAGCTTCCATTGCCGCGGAGATTGCTTCCGCCGAAGCGCAGAAGTCGGAATGGCAAGAGAAATTTGACGACAGTTGGTCGTCAGTTCGCGCCAAATCTCTGCCCGGTCTTGAGAATTACGAGGATGACGAGCAGGACCCCCACCAGGAAGAACGGCGCATGATTACGGCATTCGAGACAGTTCAAACATCCCTCTTTGCTACTGCTGAGCGCGGAAACAAGCTCGAGAAGAAGCTGTCTTTGCACTACGGCGGATACCAGAACCGTGCCAAGACGCTGCGGTCGAAGATCGTGGAGGCTAGTGCTGCTTTGTCCACCGCTACAAATGAGCTGGACGCTTTCCGTACACTCCAGATTTCCGAGGAGTCAGCTGTCCCCCGGCGACTTGAGAGACTCCGCGATGCAGTGTCATTGGTTCTACGGCGTGAGCGAGAAGCTCAAGATTTGTACAAGAAGAGAAAAGATGAGCTTGATGAACTTCTTGCTGGGACGGTTACGGTCAATGGATGGCATTAGGTAGTTTGCTTTTTTTTTGTTCTGCGTCATGACCACAATATCTTGCTCTTTTGTACAATTACTACCTCAGTCTAATTTGACGAACCGTACGCGGTCATTTGATGGAAGATATTCCTGATTTATCTAAGTTATGGTGTGCCATGAACAGTTTGATAAAGATTTGGTATTGATTTAGCTGCTTGCTCAATTGATGTGATAGCTTCCGATTTCTTGACGCCCCAGAGCCTTCCCAGCCTTGATGCCATGAATCAATGTTATGCTTCCTAGATAGATCCTTCTGGAAGATATCAAGCTCTACAAGAAATATCAAGTTAAGATCCATTGGTAAAAATGCGACTCCAGTATTACTCTTTGCACTTACCGATGCCTAAACACCAGGCTTTGGATCCTCGGGCTCCGCACCTTCAAGTGTTGGAATCTGGGGTTCGTCCAACTCGTAAATTCCAGCAAATCGCTTATCGTACTTGGCAAGAACATCCTTTTCCTGCTGCGAGATAAGAGGGTAATACCTGGCATAGTGCAAGGTAGGCAAAGACTCCAGCATGCGAATGAAAAGCCCCGTCGCACGATCACCAACAATAGACGGATCCTCCGCACTAACCATGTGTTTGAGGTAGGCATTGACCTTGTGAGCGTTGACCTCGAAGAACTCGCAAGGCGTGCCTCGGTTCGCATAAACGTGGAAAGTCAAAGGGATGTCGCGGAACTGGTCACAGAGTTCGACGATGGTCATCTTGTCGGTTGTCCAGCCATCCCAGCCGTTCAGAACGAAGATGCACTCGGTCTTGGATGCGCGAGCTTCCTCCAGTGCCATTCCCAGGAACTTGCCGACTCGGCTGATAGATGGGATTCGGGTGTGGGCGGGTTGGATGATTGTCTGCATCTTGTGGGGACGGAGGCCTAGAAGACCGAATCGCTTGCGGTGCTCGGCGACGGCAATTACCAGAAGTCCGCGTAGGTATGCGTGCATTTCGGTGTTATTCCAGGTTGAGCGCTTGTAATCGTGGTCATCCTTGTTTGTTGCTCGGGCGATGAAGACCACCACTGGGCCGAGGGGGTTGCGTGGAGCAGACAGATTTAGTTTGGATGGGGAATCTTGGGCGTTGTCCTCGACGGGGGGTGGACGAGGTTTGTCCGGCGACTGCTTGATTTGAAGCATGGCGATGAAATGCGTAGAGAGTGAGGTATGATGAAGAGAAGAGTGAAATGAAGAAGATACCTTGACATGAACGTTTGTTTACAATTTATTGTCTGATGGTGTATACCGCAAGGAAGGTACGTTCAGAGAGGAAGGAGCGACCCAAACTTGAATATTACGTGAACCTTCAATGTTGGAAGGTGGGAAGCTGCCAAGCTGCGAAGCTGAGGAAAACATTGTAAACATACAAGTCGATTGGTGAGATCCCTTGGAAACGACTATAGAAAAGTAACAAAATGGTATTGACATGAACCCGTTTCACGCAGTTCACCGCTTCTTGATGCTGACATCGATCTTACCAATGCCCCAGGCAGCGACAAATACTGTAAGCATACCCGCGAAGATAGTAAAAGGCTTGCGCAGGGCATCGAACATGGAGTGATCATACGTAACCTAATGGCAGGTTAGCATAACTGCGAGGTGAACAACTGACAATACAGATCAATACATACCACGAACTTGGAGTCACGCGCTTCGTCAGTCAGACTGTCAACCTCCAGGGTCAAGGTGGTCCGGCCCAGAGTATCCATGTAAGTCTTGAGAGAGCTCAAGTGAGCGTGAATGTGATTCACGCCAGGAAGACCATTGCTGTTGGTTCCCTCGAGGATCTCGAAGCGGACATTGTGAGCACCTTCGGGGAGAACAACGCGCACAATGACACGCTCATACTGGATGCCCTCGGCCATCTTAGGTCCCTCAATGAGCGGAGCCTTGAGGACATAGGAATCAGAGTTGACACCCGCGGCACGGCGCAGGAAGGAAGCAAGGTCATTGTTCCATCCAATACGGAAGCTGTAGTTCCAGCCTCCGAAGATGGGGTAGCGGGGCTTTAGCTCCAAGCTACCCGAACTCTTACCAATGCTCGGACGGTAGCGGCTGGTCGAGACATTGCCGATATCATCAATGAAGTAAGGGTCGACAGAGCCGGGAAGAAGCGGGTATGTCAGCTCACGAACCGCCGAAGTAGGCGCTTGCTGGTAGTTGGTGAAGGTCCATTCGACACGCGAGAACTGCTTGGTCAGCTCGGAGCCGTTGTTGCGCAGCCAGTACCGTTCCTCGGTTGCAAGGTTACCGCCCCAGTGCGAGACTTCCAAGTCACGCTCCAAAAGGTTTATAGTGATGACTGGCTTAGTGAACTCGTAGCGGACGGTAATTGGGTACTGGGTGCCCGGTGTCACCTTGGCTGTGTCATACGGGCCGTATGTGTAGGTGGCGCCCTTGCGCTCGGGGTCCGAGCCGGACTTGAGACCATCAGTGGTTGTGTAATCCGGCACATTGGTGCTGGGGAACTTCAACTTGGTCTTCTGTGTATTCGTCGTGTAGGCGGATGGCATATAAGCGGAGAAGGAGTAGGTGAGATATTGCTTGTCCGCCTGTCCAATGGTCGCAGGAAGCGGGCTGAGAGAGGAAAGCACCGAGTACGAGATTCCAAGGGTGATCTGCGACTTCGGGGCCAGAGGCTGGGGAAGATGAACGACGAAGTACTGGTTGCCGCTGTTTCAATTGATGTTAGAATTGGTGTCATGGTGTTTGTGCCTCGCCCATACAAGGCTAAACGCCTGGCATGTCCATTGGCCTTTCAATCGATACTCACTTAGATGATACAGCTTCAGTATAGTCCACATCAAAGCGTCCCGTCTCGGGGGCCTTCTTATCCCTCACTTCGAAGCCTGCAACACGGTCGAACACCTCGGCAGGGAAGGGGATGTAATAGTCGTTCTGGGGCTGATTGTCGACATTCTCCACAACAACATTGATTGTTTCCCGCACATAGCTCTTTTCCAAATTGGTATTTCGAACCAAGTTTGTGTTCTTGAAAACCTGCGGAGGTTTGAAGCCGGACGGAAGGTCCAATCGACTAGGCGTAGTAAGGTTGGTTGCAGCGCACAGGCTGGGCGCGAGCAGCCCGAGCACCGTGGCGGTGAAAAACCTCATTCTGAATACCTGGAGGACACAATTTCTCCGAGGTTCGAAAGGTTCAATAATCCAAGATGTGATTGTGTCAGGTCGATAAACCTTGGGAAGCTTGCGAAGCTGATGATACGTGGTCCCCATTGTATACTAGGGTCGCCGAAGCGGCCACATCGCGCACTCCGGCTTATCGCTGATAACAGTCTAGGTGATCTCCGGAGTGCGAACCTCGGAGCTTCTCCTCATCTTGTATCTTTCCTTCTTGCATATTTGTTTTGCATGATAAATTTGCAGGAGGTAGCTGAATCTTCTTCTCAGGTTTAATCATGCTGTCACGCACGATGTTCGCCTCTCGAGCTGCTCTGAGATCCGGCTGTTTGAGGGGAGCTCCGCTCTCATCTGCTCGTCGTTACCATGGCCTTGCCCAGAGCAAATTCTTTAATGTATCAGAAGAGGTGCGTGATGCAATTTCTACAGGGAAGCCAGTCGTCTCACTCGAGACCACAATTTATACACACGGTGAGTCTCTCTGTGTTCATTCCTGGGATTGAAGAGCTTCGCCCAAAAGCGGGGAAGCCAAGACTGATCGGCTGTAGGTTTCCCTTACCCCGATAACATTGCTCTTGCCGCATTGCTGGAGTCTGTCGTGAGAGCCAATGGCGGAGTTCCTGCAACTATAGGAATCCTTGGCGGTGTGGCCAAAGTTGGCCTGAGTACGGAAGAGCTTATCGAGCTGGCCTCGACAGCTCAAGACAAGAGCGCTCTGAAAGTGTCTCGTAGGGATCTCGGATATATCTGTGGCATGGTGAGCTAGCTGCTACAATGGCTCAGAAGACCGAAACTGATCTATATTAGGGCATGATCGGTAAGCCAATGCATGGCGGTACTACAATCTCCGGCACTATGATTCTGTCAGAACTGGCTGGTATCAAGATCTTTGGTACCGGTGGGCTAGGTAAATCCAATGATCAAAGTTCAATCGAAAATGAAACCCATCTAACTTGCTCTAGGTGGTGTGCATCGCGGGGGAGAAAACTCAATGGATATCTCTGGTAGGGAAAAATGTGGAAACAAAATCACCGCCCCCAATTATTGACAAAACATTATAGCCGACCTTACTGAACTTGGACGTACTCCGGTGACGGTAATTAGCTCTGGATGCAAGAGCTTCTTGGACATTCCTCGAACCCTCGAATACCTCGAGACCGAAGGTGTCTGCGTGGGTACATTCGCTGATGGCCGAGATGGCCCCGTTGACTTCCCTGCTTTCTTTACACGAGAAAGTGGCATCCGCAGTCCCCGTGTCATTCAAAATGAAGCTGAAGCTGCTGCCATAGTTTGTAAGTATACCCCATACGTTGACAGCTACAGTCTCGTTGACAGTATCTCCAGATGCGCAATCGAGGCTTCCAGTATCCTCCGGCATTCACTTTGCCAACCCCGTCCCCCTGGAGCACTCAATCCCCAAAGCCGAGATGGATCTTGTGATTGAAGAAGCTATCCGCCTTTCCCATGTAGAGGGTTATCACGGCAGTGACAACACGCCATTTGTGCTTGCCAAGATCAAGGAACTAAGCGGTGGAAAGAGCGTAGTCGCTAATCGGGCCTTGATTGAGTCCAATGTCAAGCGTGCAACCCTTGTAGCTGTGGAACTTGCCAAGCTTGAACAAGCTGACCTAGGAACAGGGTCTCGGTGAGTTTTGTTTCTAGATATCAGATACGAGATGCAATCAATGCTAAGTTCCGAGATCTCCTTCCCTATAGACACATGCCATCAATCCCAGGTGTAGCTTTCCCAAGTCAAGTTGCCTCGCAAGTTGAAGATATCCCCGAGCCAGTCAGCACCGAGGTACCTATTACACCGACACTAAAGGCAGATGTCGTGGTTGCCGGCTCGCTAGCCATTGACCTGTCCTGTGACTACACTCCATTCGGAGACGAACTCACACAGGTTGCACCAGTACCGCATACATCCAACCCAGCAATTATCGGACAAAGCCTAGGTGGCGTTGGCCACAACGTTGCCGTTGCTGCCAGCTATATCGGCAGCGATGTCATCTTCTGCAGCGTCATAGCAGACGACCTCAGCGGCCGCGCCGCACTATCAACCCTTGAAAAAGAAGGCCTCGGCATTGCAGGTATTCAGGTGCTCCCAGCGACGCCAGGCGTCCGCACAGCACAATACATCGCAATCAACGACATCAAAAAAGACCTTGTAGTAGCCATGGCCGACATGGGCATCGTCGAACTACCCGAATCCCAGCTCGACTTTGACGGCTTCTGGGAACCTCTCCTCGAACGCACAAAGCCAAATTGGGTTGTCGTTGACGCCAACTGGCGGCCCGACGTGATGGCCAAGTGGAGTGCTGTAGCACGCAAACACGGCGCACGCGTAGCCTTCGAGCCCGTCTCAACAGCCAAATCCCGACGTCTGTTCGGCAGTGGTGCAAACAGCACCGGCGCGACTATCGGTCCCAATCAGACTGTGCCAAATAATGCTATCAGTCTTGCGTGTCCGAACCGCCTCGAGCTGGCGGCTATGTACACTGCTGCGCGGGAATCGCTTCTTTTCGAGTCGGCGGGATGGTGGCATATCATTAACTCTATGAATATGTCTCCGACGGGCTCGCGCGAGCGCCTCATTGCAATCACTTCGCTGTCGCTTGTCGACGAGGGCCTTCCACAGCAGACTGTTCAACTGCTTCCTTTCATCCCTTGTATTGTTACTAAGCTTGGTGGTGCGGGCGCCCTCCTTACTCAGCTTCTGCCGCCTGGTGATCCCCGTCTCACGGATCCGGAGTCTGCGCCATACATTCTTGCTCGCGCACCGCTTGACTCGGATGTGCCTTTCGGTGGTGTTTACATGCGTCTGTTCTCGCCTGCTACTATTCTAGGTGCAAATGATATTGTCAGTGTCAATGCGGCGGGTGATACGCTGCTAGGTGTTGTGGTGGCTGGCTTGGCCAAGGATCCTTCCGTGCGCATTGAGGATGTCATTCCTATTGCTCAGGAGGCGAGCCGGAAAACATTGGCTAGCGCTGGAGGTGTCA